TTTTCAAAAAATTTTCTCCACACTCCCAATATTTTAGTTTTTCTAATATGAAGTCCCAGCTAATATTGTCGAATGCCTTCTCTGCGTCGGCAAATATTAAGGCCATTGTTTTTTCAGGATGTTGTTCATAGAATTCTAACACATTTAGAACTATTCTTACGTTGTCCTTAATTTGTCTCTTCGGCAAGAAACCTGCTTGGTCTTTATGGATAACTTGGCGAAGAACCCTCTTAAACCTAGCTGCTAAAATATATGCATAAATTTTATAATCGGCGTTGAGTAATGATATAGGCCTATAGTTGCGTATTTCATTTCTTTCTGTATCCTGTTTATGTATTAGGGTGATTTGGGCTTCCCTCCATGAACTTGGAATTTGTCCCTCATCCAATGAGTTATTAATTACCTTTTGCAGCGGTAATGCTATTTCCTCCTCAAAAGCCTTATAGAACTCTATAGGAATTCCATCTGGACCTGGCATTTTATTATTGTTTTGATTTCTTATCGCCTCTGTAATTTCACATATAGTTACTCGCTCATTTAGATCTCTCCTTTGCTCTTCAGTAAATTTTCCTTCTAGATATTTATCAAAATATCTTTTTATGTCTTCTAAATTAACATCATCTCTTTTATATAGTTTTTAATAAAAATTTTCCACGATCTCTTTCAAATCTTTTAAAAGAAATTTTTCCTGTCCTTTCTCGTCTTTTAAACTTTTTATTGTTTTTTTTTCTCTTTCCTCTCTAAGTTTATACGCCAGCCATCTCGTTGGCTTATTGGCTTGCTCGAAATATCGTTGTCTTGCAAATTTTACTTTTGTTGCCACTTCTTGAGTTAAAATACAATTTAGATGATGCTGTAGTTGATTAATTTTATTTTTTATTTCTTGCAAGTTATCCTTTGCTTTTTTCATTTCCTTTTCTTCTATCTTAATATTTTCCTTTATCAAGTTCAATTCCCTATCTTTTTGTTTTTTCTTCCACGCATTTTGCCTTATAAACCATCCTCTTGAATAGGCCTTAAATGTGTCCCATATAATTTCTACAGGTACCTCTGCTGTCATATTTTCTTTAAAGAACATCTTAAATTCCTTTTTGGATTCCAATAGGAATTTTTTATCTTTTAATAACCATGTATTTAAGGTCCATCTTCTTTTTTTTAATACATCTGTTAAAGTACATACAATTGGGTTATGGTCAGCATAGGTTGCTGGCAAGATTTCAATCTCTTTCACATCATTTATCATTTCTACGGAGACCCACATCATGTCCAACCTAGACCAAGATCTGTGTCGGCTGGAATAATAGGTGAAATCCTTTTTATCTATATTCTGAGTTCTCCACGCATCTACGAGTTTAAATTCTTCTATTGTTTGTAAAAAGGCTTTAGGCAATTCATTTCCTCGTCTCTGTTTTTTATCCAAGTATTTTCTATCCATTAACCTATCATATACTGCATTAAAGTCACCTACAATACAGATTTCATCACACATTAAATTCACCAATACTTCTCTCAATTGTCTGAAAAACTTTTCTAAATTTTCGTTTGGAGCATATATATTAGCAATTAAAGCCGATTTATTTTGTCTATATATCTTAATCAACACCATTCTACCATCTTCAGATGCAAATAATAGCTCTGGTTGTAATTTTTCCTTAACATATATAGCTACCCCTTTTTTTTTCTTTGTAGCATCTGCTGCCAAGAATAGTTTTCCTAGTTTTTTATTTTCTAGTAAATGTGCATCATCCTTTTTAATGTGTGTCTCCTGAATGCAGATTATATCTACATTTTGTTTTTTTAATTGTAAATAGGTTCTAGATCTCTTTTGCGGGGAATTTAATCCATTTATATTGATAGAGATTATTTTTATACCCTGACTACTCATCTTTGTCTTGTTCTCTGTGACTCTTATTTGTTCTTTGTTGCAGTCTTGTAGTCATTTTGGGGGCATATGTATATCTCCCCTTTCTATTTTTCTTTTTTTTTCCCCCTTCCTTTTCCTCTTTATTACTGCCTGCCTCCTCTTGTTTCTGAGATTCATCTTCTGATTCTGTAGATTCTTCTTTTTCCTCTAACCAACCTAGGTCCTTTCCGTATTTTTCCAAGAAGTCTTCTAACTTAAATATTGAATTTATCCTAAATCTTTTCCCTTTATACATAAAGAAAATACCCTCTGGAACCAGCCACCTATACTGGATATTCTGACTTTTCAGAAGGTCAACCAGGATGGAGTATTCTAGTCTCTTTTCTCTAACCCTCCATGGTATCTCCCGTAAAATTTTAACTTGTGTGTCATTTATTTTAAGGGTCTTTTCGTTTGTCAATTTCAATATCTTGTCTTTTTGGTCTCTCCTAATGAATTTTATTTGAACTTCCCTGGGAACTTTATTACGCCTTGCATAGGCAGAATTAACTCTATAGGCTGCCTCTATATTTGTCTCTATTTCTCCAATCGATTCTATCTCTAGAAATTCGGCCAACGCCTGGCTTATTTCTTGTTTTAGATCTTCATCTTTCTTTTCTGGTAAGTTTTGTAATCTAAGAATATATGACGCCTTTTCCATTTCCAGTTTAATAACCGCCTCTTCTAGGGATTCTTGCTTATTTTCCACCTCCTGTAATTTTTCCTCTGTATTTCCCACTTTCAATTCCAACTTATTTGTCATATTTACTAAAGAAGCTATCTCTTGCTTATTTTCAGCCAATTGTTTTTTAATCTCCTCCGTCTGTATCGTCAATTGATTTGAAATGTCATCTAACTTAGACAGTTCCTCGAGTTTTTTTTGTAATGGTTGTATCGCTTTAGCTACTGCTGTCTCCACGGCTGTATTAATTACACCTAGCATTGATTCCTGGATCAGATTTTGTAGCTCTTTTGGGTTCATTTGTGGTATACTTGGGGGGTTTGAAAAGGAGGGTCTTCTTCCTCCCGTGGTTTTGTCCATAATTTATGTTCTTTGTCAACTTCTAATACACCCTATAATTTAAATTTGTGTTTATAATTCTCACTACTTGCTGAAATTTCAAATCTACTTTATCCACCACCAATGACACCACTCAGCATTATATATTAACCAACCCCCACAATTTTAACCCAATCCTTTAGCCACAAGAAAAAGAGATTTTTTGTTGGGCCCTTCCCTTTAATCCCAAGTTTTGACTGCTGAGTTTCTTAATAATTTTATTCTGCCGAATTGAGCTCACAGCATATATATATCCTAGCTTCTCTTATTACAACCTGTTACCCATCAAATATCAAGTACCACTTGACCTCTTATCATTTCCAGTTAAATCATGAGTTTCAATTCATTATATCATTCAAATCATTCAAAATCAAGAATTTTTACCCCTTCCTAGTTGATTTCCCCAATTAATTACTTTAACTTATATACAATTAATTTACCCCCTTCCAAAACATTCATCAGAAATTTCCCCCCTCCTAATAACACTCCTAGTATCACCATTCACACCCTTAAGCTTTGGCACCAAAGACAAACAACCAAACAAAGCAATAAAAATATCAACCACAAAAATATCAACCACAAAAAAACAGAAAATCAACACTCTCACAATGTTATACCACAGTTCAGTTCTTTTTAGTCTTCTTCGTTTCTATGAGTGTCTCTCCATTTCGCCTCTGTTGTCTTCGTAAACCTTGAAGACCAACCACTATTTCTGTCCTTTGAGTCCTCCCTGCCTTCTCTTTTCCGCTGTTTTCTGGTTGTTTGTTCTATGTTGTTCTTCTCTGGTGCTTGCCTCCCTGTGTCTCCCTGATTACGTTGCCCTGTTGTCTTCCAATAGTATGCTTTTTAAAGCTGTTGAACGCTGCTGAGCGCGGTCCCTTTAAACGCAGCGTTTTGTAAAACAAGCCGGAGAGTCGCGATCTTAGATTCGCCGCTTTTTTTCTTCTTCCTCTTGAAGTTCTACAACTCTCTAAGTCGCCAAATAAAGTTTTCTTGGATCCTACTAAGAGGTTTGCAGAGTTCTTTTGGTAAAGATACCTGGAAAAAATTTCTTTTGATGTGCCAACACCTTCGGGAAGAATCTCTGCTTGGTTCCGCCGTTAACTTTACCCAGCCGGAGAAGCCTCGCTGGGTGCAGCCCCACCTCCTGCACCGGAGCAACTTTCCTGGTCCAAAAACAAGCCGCCGCTTGCTCCTGCAGCCCGGAAAAACAGAGCTCCCTGCTGGAGAGACTTTCCTTGTCCCTCTTTGGAAGTTTGGACACCCGTTGGCGACCTCTTCCTTGAAGGTAGGGCAATAGGGCGATTTTCGGTCAGGAGCGCACCCCGACCACGACCGTCCCTGTTACGACCGGAACCGGAAATTTCCAGGGTATAAGTTTTCAAGAGTCCAAGCTCATACTATGGAAATCTTGTTGGACTTTAAGGTGCTGCTGGATTTAACCCTTTCTCTTCTACCGATGGCCGACATGGCTACTCACCTGCAACTTTCCTCTTGGAAGACTTTTTCTGTGGGAAAACATGTCCATCGGTCTCATGATCCCCTCAGCTTGATGACTTTGTAGCATCCTGACACATTTGCTCCGCTCCCAGGCAGGCCTTTACTACTAGGTAGCACTGATTTGATTACAGAGCCCGGTCATTTGTGAGGATTATTCGTTTATGCAACGAAATACACTTCCAGCTCCCAGATTTTTGTTTCTTCTGGACGATAGTGACTCTTCAAGATACAGAAGTTGGCTATCTCCAGTGTAGGCTAAACCAGGGCATTTTATTGTCACGGTATTCACCGGTACTGATTACTGGCACCTTTGAGGGGACGAATCGCCCAAGTCCTGAGTGGGGAATTGGGGGGAATCCGTGTAACCTTCTAGAGTACTGGCACTTCCTCCTCCTCCAACAACAAAGTTGTAATGTCACCATAATTCGCATCAAAGCTTACTCTGATTATTTATTCCCTCCCACAAGATTGGGGGGGGGGGAGTTTTTCAAATGTTGAACAATTTCTTAGTGATGTCAGGATTTTTACTTTCTTCAGATCCCTGACCAGAGTGCTGGCAAACCTGCAAATGCGGAAAGAAATAAAGGAAAACCAAAAGGTTGGTTTCTTTTTTTTTAATTATGCAAAAGAAAATAATGAATCATACTGTTCTGCGAGATAGTATATTCTCATGTAACTTTAAAAAAAACAACCAAAAAACCCAACCAAAATGTTAACCCCCCCCCCCCCCCGACAGTCTTTTCTAATCAATTATGGTCTTTACCGCTTGTGACATTTTCCCGAAGTTATACGTGGCCTGGCCTCCTTTGCCAGCCTGCTGAGCAACTGGCATTCCAGCTGCCCGTGAGGACCGAAAATCAGGCCATTAATGTTCAAACGATGCCCCCAGGGGCTGAGCTTTAAGCCTGAAGTAAGCACCTTTAAGTGACCTCTGAAGTCCAACATCAATCAGCTCAGCACACAAATGCCCACAAACAGGGTAATTTATACATTTCTCTGTTGGAAACGGTATGCCCTGCCCATTATGCTGTAAGATCTTGCCTTCGATGCGGACGTTGCTAGGAGTTCTGCCGCTCTTTAGTGTGGATGTTAAATGTGAATTGATGCACAGATCTTTAGCTTGTATTAGGCCAGGGCTGCCAACCCTGGGTTGGGAAAGTCCTGGAGATTTGGAACTGGGGAGGGGGACGGGAGCTCCAGCAGGGTATAATGCCACATGGAGTCCACTCTGCAAAGTAGCCATTTTTTCCCAGGGAACTGATCTCTGGAGGTCCAAGAATCACTGAGTTGGAAGGGGCCGTACAGACCATCTAGTCCCAACCCCCTAGTCAATGCGGGATCAGCCTACAGCATCCTTGACAAGTGTTCGATAGAATACTAATTCCATGAGATCTCCAGGTCCCACCTGGGTGTTGGCAACCCTATGCCTTCATCCTTTATTGATTGATTGATTGATTTGTATCTCGCTCTCCCTGCTGAGGCAAAGCTCTGGCTTACACACGATACGTTAAAACAGCTAAAAACACAGAATTAAATAAAAGCACGACGATATAATGATAAAACATATCTTAAAGTACTAGTACATTCATAGAGGATGGCGGTATTAATAGCATCCAAGATAACTACCGCCGTAGTCTGGGTTTTTGTCAGGCTATTGATCACAGTATTTAAATTGATGTTGGTGTTGGGGCAAGCACCTCAGTCTTAGAATGGCCTAGTGGAAGAGCTCCGTTTTACAGGCCCTTGTTGAAGATCCCGCAGAGCTCAAATTTCATTTGGGAGCTGATTCCATAATACCCGTGTAGCTAGGGAAAACGCCCTAGTTCTTGTTGGTGTTAACTTAGCGTCTCTAGGGCCTGGGGGGACGAAGCGATCTCAGTGCCTCAGGGGAACATATGGGGAAAGGCGGTCCCTCAGGTAGACAGGCCCCAGACCATTTAGGGCTTTAAAGGTCAAAACCAGCACCTTGAAGCGTATCCGGAATGCTATTGGCAGCCAGTGCAGCGACCTCAGCACAGGTTGGATGTGTTCCCTCATGGGGAGGCCCATCAGCAACCTGGCCGCGGCATTCTGCACGAGCTGCAGCTTCCGGAGTTGCCCCAAGGGCAGCCCCATGTAGAGAGCATTGCAGTAATCCAGCCTCGAGGTGACCATAGCATGGATCACTGATGCCAGATCATTGCGTTCGAGGAAGGGAACCAACTGCCTAATCAGCCGCAGATGGTAAAAGGCTGCCTTGGCAGTGGCTGCTACCTGGGCCTCCATTGTCAAGGAAGCTTCCAGGAGAACTCCCAAACTCCTGACCCTCGGAGCTGGCACCAATGGTGCCCCACCGAAGGCCAGAAGTGGGACCCCTACCCCCGTACCACTCCGATTCAGGCATAGGACCTCCATCTTCGTTGGATTCCGTTTCAGTCAACTCAGTCTAAGCCAGCCCGCTACGTCCCGCAACGCTCGGTCCAGATCTTCTGGGGTAGAGCCAGACTGACCGCGTAACAGCAGATAGAGCTGGGTGTCATCCGCGTATTGATGGCACCCTAGCCCGTGTCTCCGGGCAATCTGGGCAAGGGGGCGCATATAGATGTTAAACAACATCGGGGAGAGAACTGCCCCTTGAGGCACCCCACAAACTAGTGGGTGTCCCTGGGACAGCTTCTCCCCAAGCACCACCCTTTGTCCCCAACCTTGGAGAAAGGAGACAAGTCATTGCAAGGCAAGCCCCCGAATCCCCACGTCGGCGAGGCGGTGGGCGAGCAACAACCTTGTGAGGTTGGGTTAGGCTGAGGGATTGTGATGGGCTCACGGTCACTTGGTGGGCTTCCAGGGTGGAGCAGGGGATTCTAACCTGGTTAGATTCTAACCTGGTCATCCCAATTCCTAGTCTGGCACTGTAACCATTACTGAAGGATCACTGAAGGATGGTTGCCATCATCTAATAATATTTATCCGTATTACTTAATGTTTAGCACCTTACAATGTTGGATCATTTTCGTATGGTTTTAGGATTGTTTAAATTGCTTGCTTGTGTGTTTTCTTCTTTTATGTAAGCCGCCCTGAGCCGTCTTCGGCTGGGAGGGTGGGGTATAAATCTGATAAATAAATAATCTAAATAAATCATACCACCCCAGCCCTCAGTGGGAAGTTCTCCATTCCTCAGTAAAATAAACAGAACTGCGTGCTGCAAGTATTTCCTTGTCCTCCTGATCAGTCCAGTGGGGGTTGTGCGAGAGCACTCGCTGTTCCCTTGGGCCTCATGTGTCGAGTCTGGGCCGGTGTCGTATACTGGCTAGAGTGTCAGACTAGAATCTGGGGCTGCTGGGTTCAGATCCCTCCTCTGCTATGGAAGCTTGCTGGGTGGCCTTGGGCCAGTCACACAGTCTCTCAGCCTGACCTGCCTCAGAGGGTTGTTGTGAGGATACGATGGAGGAGAGGAGAATGATGTTAGTCACTCTGGTTCCCGACTGGGGAGAAAAGTGTGGTATAAATGGGGTAAATAAATGAAGGGCTAGTCTTTAAGCTGTTAATACAATGTTCTGTTGTGTTTGGTGCAGCAGAAGAACTCTTCTACCCCTCGGTGTCTGTTGCATTTTGGGGTATCCTTGATGGCCAAGCTGGGACTCTTTTCAAGTTCTGTAGTAGAGGGAAAGCAATGGTGCCAAAATGTTTCTCTTTTCTATATTTTTAAATTTGTCTTTCCAAATTTAATGGTGCATTTTCAGAAACGGAATTGCTTACCGAAGAGGTATTTGTTATACGTTTTGGTTAAATTTACCTTGATTAAAATGCTAAAATCTCTTATAGGAAAGAAATCTCACTGATTTCACTGGAATGTACTGTTTCTGAGTACCAATGTTTACTGGCAGGATGCATCTCTCCCCCCCCCCCCCCACAAAGTTTTTCACGGGGGGGGTCTTCCCCCCCCCCCCCCCCCCATAGATGTTTCAGCCCAATTCTGAACTTCATGTCCATAAAATCTCTATTCAGAGCATGGTGGTTTTTATTCCACAAGACATGGGAGCGGAGCCGGTGGAGGGAATCCCTCCTCCTGTAGCCCACTGAGACTTCCAAAATGTTCACGGGGTCCAGAGAGGATACTCATGGACAGCATAGGGGCCAAAGGGTGGGAGGGCGTCTGCAATGGGAAAGGTGCATCCATGGAACCTCCACCCCCCTCTCTGCTGGCAGAAGTGTCCCCCAAAACAGATACAATACAGGCATTTTTTTAAAAATGAACTCCTGACACATCTGTGCTGTGGCCTAACAATTTTCTTTCATTTTAAAACCCTGGAGCTATTTTTTCCTTTGAGCCTCTTGCTCTTTTCAGTAGGTAGGCGTCTTTTCACAAATTCCTATTTTAATTTTTCCTCTCTCTCTTTCTTTGCCTCACTGCAGATTACTCACTTTTATTAGACTGCAGCAGCTGTAGAAACGCAGTATAAAATGGTATCGGGAACTGGTAGTTAAACAGCTCTTAAAATAGATCTGAATGTGTTCCGATGTCAGTTGCCGTCTCTTTTTGGAAAATCCTGTTACCTGACAGAAGACCTTTGAGCCTCTCCTTCAAATGTCATCTCTAAACTAATGTTTCATTAGAGGCGGCCCTAATACATTTGCACAAATTACATTGTCAAAATGGCAAGCTGGAGTGTATTTAGACACACGTTAAATTGGTACTCCCTGTTTTGAACCTGCCACATGAAGGAGATTAAAACGTAACTTTGAAGAGCGGAAGCAAAAGGCTGTCAGTCCTTTGAACATGCGTATATATAAAATGACATTTTGGGATTAATTTGGGTGCAAATTAAACCTGACCGCATACCGTTACGCCGTCCTTGGGGACCGCATGAAAAAGATATTTTTGAGTTCACATGAACACAGTGGTAAAAAGCAATCTCTGTTTTGTTGGAATATAAGTTTTTGGCAGCAATTCAGACATCAGTGGTACAGCAGAATAAATTGTCATGCCGTTTTGAGCTACAGGATATTCGTCTAACAGCAGGAGAGGCAAGGTCTCAAGCTGTGCAGAACTGAAAGATTCCCCTCTAAGATAATGAAAGTTGAATAGAAAATGCAATACAGGAAAGAGGCTAAAGGCTATTAAGGACTGAAAAGTATATGATGATTAGATGCAGTCAGGAAAGCATTCAGGGGTAAGTAGCTACGTTCCGGAAGATGTTCCAACCAAAATAATGTTTCAAGTTTTGTAGGCTTGTGAAAGCCATTTTCTCATTTTTACTCTGGGGTTGTTGTTTTTTTTACTTAACCTAGTGGAAAGAGCTCACTTTGTGTGGCCCTTGTAGAGTACAGCTTTTGTACCAGGCTCAGTGAAATAGTGTCTCCTAATTGAGAGGTCCTTTTTTCACTGCACGTAGGACAGAAGAAACACAGAACAGCCCTGTTGTATACAAGAGCTTTATAGCCTTTAATTCTGCCTGCCTTTGTCACACCTACGTTATGGGGTGGAACATATTCTGACTCGCAGTTTATAGACTGTTTGCCATAAGCAAATGCAGAAATGAGCCATTATTTTAATGTAGGACTCCAAGAGCAAATCTCACGCACAAGCACTGGGGGCTATACAGTGTAGCTGTTACCATG